TGGATAGTTTTGCGCAAAAAAATTGAGGAATGATAATGGGCAAATCATTTTACTGATTGATATTTCATCAATATACATAAATGCGTTTTTTAACATAAACATAAACAGTAGCTCATCATCTTCCTGGCTTAACTCAAACTGAACGTTTTATCGTCTTGTTTGTTCTTTTATACGGTAAGAACGCCTTAGTGCAGGTATTTGTTCTCTCCTTTCATCCGGATGTCTCTTTAAATTTGCCTGTACTTGGATTACATCAGGTAATATCCTTTCCCAGATAACACAGGATGTCCTAAGGATATCCGTTTTATATACATTTCTGGTCCAGGATATCCCGGTATTGAAAAGAATATCTGATGGATGTCCGTGAAGGACAAGCGTATGGATATCCGTCGAAGGATATCTTATGGATATCCTTAGGATATATGAGAAGTAAATGCGATTAAATTAATCAAAATTTATACCCAAAATTGAATTTTGTAAATGTAAAATTTGTGAATAGAAATAATAACCGCATCATTTTGTTGACCTTCTAACAAATTTCATTTAAAATCCACCTGAATAACGAAATCGAATCATACTTGATCTCAAGACATCTGATTAAATTTTCCTGTGGAGAAAAATATCTCCAACTTTGTAACTGAATTCAATGAAGTTATTTCGCAGAGAGAAGCTAACGGTCAATACATCTTCCGATACAGAAATGTAATTCATTCTCTGTGGTCCAAATATATTCCAGAATCTCCGACGGTTTGATTTCCTTTGAAGCATTTGAAATCATCTGCAAAAGGAAGCCCTTTAAAAAAATACCATATCAGAGCATTGATGAATTCAACAACAAAGTTCCCTAGTTCAGTCTCTGTGAAAGACACACTTAATTTCATATTGAACTTCAATGCATTTGAATATCCGGCAGACTTTATAATTGTGGAAAATTGATGAAATGTAAAAGTGAAACTTCTGACGTAGAATAAATCCAAAAAGGAACACTTTCTCCTATTGCAATAGGTGTTCTATTCGAGCAACGTACCGCGCGCTCCACCCCTTATATGGTTGCCATAATATTCCTACCCAGAGGACTATTGGCAAAGTGGTGGATGAATTTGAGTCTACTGGTTCAATAAACGATCGACCAACGCCCGTACGTCGATGAAACGCAAGATCTGCCGAAAACATCGCCGCTGTCTGTGAGAGTGTGCAGGAGAATCCGAGGCACTCGATCTCGAATCGCTCACAAGAACTTGGTCTTTCGCAGACCACAATTTGGCGAATTTTGCGTCGTAGTTTGGGCCTGCACCCTTTCAAAACTCAACTGCCCAGGAACTGAATAAACGACTGAAAACAACGGCGTGTGGTTGCTGAATAGGCTCTGGAGCAGTTGGCGAGACACCAATTTTCATAAAAAATCATCTTCAGCGATGAGGCCCAATTCTGGATGAATTGGATCGTCAACAAACAAATTTGTCGAGTTTGGGACGATAACAATCCACATGAGATCCAAGGGCGTCCAAAGCATCCCAAAAAAGTCACTGCTTGGAGTGGATTTTGGGCTGGCGGCGTCAGCGGTCCATATTTCTTCGGAAACGACGTTGGCCAGACAATCACTGCCAACAGCGAGCACTATAGGTCGATGATTTCCAACTTCTCTTCGCTTGAATTGGATGATCTGGATACCAACGGTATGTGGTTTCAACAGGACGATGCTTCGTGCCACACTTAGATATTCTGCACGAGTGATTTGAGGACATGTTCATCTCATGAGGAGGTGATGTGAACTGGCCACCGAGATCGTGCGATTTGACCCCGTTAGGCTTCTTTTTGTGGGGTTTTCTCAAATCACGAGTGTATGCGAATGTATCACAAACTACAGCGGTCCAGAAAGCCAACATACCCTATGACATCTGTCAAAATTCAGCCTGATTTATGCGCCAGAGCCATGGGAAATTGGATGTTTCGGATGCGCTCCACATAGAGAAGTAGTGACGGGCATTTAAACAATGTTATATTCCATACAAAATGACATCAATAAGTCTTTTGAACGAATAAAACATTTCAATGATATCTCACACACACTTTCTTTCATTTAAATTTGAAGATAGGAAGAGCCTGATGGAAGACTCTATACATACAAAGATAAGACAAAGATTCAACCACTTCTAGGGTTCCAACAGTATTTCCTACCAGAGAACATACAACCATCCAATAAAATGGAATACTGCCTAAATGAATGCATACGCACTATGACTGAAACAAATAAAGCAGAAGATATGAGATGTTTCCAACAAAACTGTGATAATCCCCTTCACCAGTAGGAGAAAATTGAATGATATGATGCCACTTTTCCTCAATGTTGAGGTCATTCCATTTGTAACGGAGCTGAAATATCTTGACTGTTCCTATGAATGAATGTCCCTTAAATGAATGTAAAGCATGGGAGGAAGAGATATGGGTGGGATACAACGAAAGGAAGACAGAATGCATGTACATACAGACCAGACGGGCTGTCATTACAGTGAATGAGAGAGAAATTGAGGTCAGAATGAATGTCAAATACCTGGGAATTGTAATGGACTCTGGACTTTTATTCATTGACCACCACAAGGAGGCAAGAAAAAAGCTAAGTACATTGGCGGGGAAAATGAGAAGATGGACCGGGAGGAATATTGGAATGAAGAGATAGTGTGTTAGAATAATTTATGAAAGGGTAGCGAAACCTGCAGCTATGTATGGAGTGCAAGTGTGGGGGAGTAGAGTGCATGATAGTAGAGTCAGGAGACAGTTCAGCGCGGCCCAGAGGCCGTTTCTCATCGCGGCATGTGGGGCATATAGGACGGCGCCGACAGCCGCGCTCAGTATGATCACGGGGATAGCCCCACTTCATATAGAAGCTGGGGCTAGATACCATGAGTGGAGAATGAATAGGGAAAAGAAGACTCAGGATAGATTGAAAGGTATAGATAAGATACTTCCCCCGATGCAAGGGGGTTTACTGGAGGAGCCGCAGGACGAAGGGATGGACGAGGTATATGTGGATGCCGGAGCGAGAATGGACGAGGAAAGAATGGTTATTGGATGGGCGCACGAAAGAAATGTAGGTGAATGGGCTCTAGGAAACGAGAGGATTCCCGAGCAGAGCAGTGTGAATGAAGCGGAACTAATTGCGATAGAGAAGGTGATAGAAATGTGGGATATAAATGAGAACCTAAGGATGATCAGTGACTCTGCAATTGCGGTGGAAAGGATGAAAGTGGTACGTGTGAGGAATAAAAGGGTGGCTAGAATACAGAGAATGATTGAGGAGAGGTATGAAAGGGGGCACGGACCGAAATCGTATGTCGCAAGGGTCACCTACATGATAACCCCGTTAATAAAAAGGCCCACAAGGAGGCGGAGAAAGGAATGCGTAGGGATAGTATTTCATGGAATGTGAGGAGAATGAGTAGTAAGAGTGAGAAGAGAAAGAGGATAAAGAAATGGATTAAGGAAGAATGGCAGCGAGAATGGGACAACAGTATGACTGAGCGACTGTTATACAGGTTCTGTAGAACAGTCGGGTATGAGTCACTGGATCTGTCGAGGAAGGCAGTCCAGCTGTTTACGGGGCACGGTAACTTCCCGGGATACTTGGCTAGGTTTAACCTGGCGCGGGAGGTGCCGTGCCCATGTGGACGGGGGGAGCCTGAAACGGCAGAACATGTGATAGAGAGATGTATGGACGGCGATAGAACTGGGTGGCGCGAATGGAAAGAGCGGCTGGAACAAGAGAAGGGAGGAATACAGATGAAAGACAGGAATGGAAGGAGAAATGAACGGATACGTGTGGCGAATGAGTGGGCAGAGAGTGTCGTGAGAGATGAGAGGGATGGATGAGAGACAAGCTACCAATGATGCTGCTAAAGAAACTACGCTAAAGAAATGACGATCTTCCCAATTTAGACAACCATGAAGTAGATGCTATCTGACTTGTGGAACTCTTACAGTCTGAAAATGATTTGTCAAACAGAGAGTAAAGACTTCCTTCGAGCTGAAATAATTTTGAATAATTCATGTATTACCTCAGAGAGAATCATTTAGTTAAGTTTAATTAGTTATGTATTACCTTAGAGAGAAACATATAGTTAAGTATAATTAGTTAATTATTTATTTTTTGTTTATAGAAAGTTGTAAAGAAATGTAAATTTGGTTTGTTATTTAATAAATGTATGGGTCTTTGACCCTCGGTGATTTGGACGAGCACGGGTCCTTTGGCAGTGGTGATGCTAGGATAGAGGGAAGATGCCTAGCTGAAAGGCTTTCGAGCCAGGGCAGCATACGGCAATGGCATTATTCATGTCCCTATGAACATGTCGAGGGATTTGTGGTAAAACTTGGGGTTTAGGTCCCAAACAGATCTATTGGATTTATGTGATGATTGTCAGACCAATGATCACTTTTGGTGCAATGACTTTTTGGCCGAAGGCTTTACATGAAACAGCCCAGGCGAAGCTCTCTGACTCACAGAGACAGGCTTGTCTGGCCATCAGTGGTACCATCAGTACCACACCGTCAGCGGCCATAGAAATCTTTCAAGATCTACCTCCTCTCCACATTTTTCTGAAGAGAGAGGCTAGATGGACTGCATATAGACATATTGGCATATTGCCAATTGCACAAATCATAATGCAGGGTACTACAGACTGTTGGTTGACACTGGAATTCACAGCATTCTGGAAATGGCCTCTGACTTTATGCCTCCAACTGTCAACGTCGAATTTATACCTTATAAAGTACTGTTCTCGAGTAGAGAGAACTGGATCCTCCGAGAGAAAAAAATATTAAGGGCAGATATCTATTGGTTCACAGATGGATCAAAAACACCTTCCGGTTCTGGTGCAAGTGTTTTCAGTCGCAGACCCAGGACAGAGATGTCAACCTGCCTAGGAACCTGTGCGACTATATTTCAAGCGAAAATTTACGCTATTCAATTTGTGCGGAGATATTGGAAGAATCCAACCTCATACACAAGTCAATAAAAATATTCACGGACAGTCAAGCGGCGTTGGAAGCTCTTGGCTCCTACCGAGCAACGTCTAAATGGGTAGCAAATTGCTAGAAACGACTCTCCTCGATAGGAAACCTTAACAGATTGTCTCTGGTCAGGATTCCGGGCCATACTGGCATAGAAGGCAATGAGACGGCTGACTCTCTTGCAAAGGAGGGTGCTGCAAGCAGCTTCATCGGATCAGAACCTTTCATTGGCATCGCTCTAGGCTTTGCCAAACAAATATTGAACACCTAGATGGCAAGAAGATTTATGGACTTCTAGCAAAGTCTTCCAGGATTGGCTCACTCCAAGGCGTTTATTCATCCTTCGAAGATTGATACCAAACAGTTGTTGGACTACAATAGGGATGAACTATTATGTCTAACAGCCCTTCTCACAGGTCACTGTCATTTGAATCATCATATGCAGAGACTCGGACTGTCGGAAGACAGGAAAATGATGAAACAGCAAAGCACATACATTGTGCCTACCCCGCTGGGGACCGAATCAGGTTTTCAGAGTTTGGCAGAGCCGTACTCTTACCATCTGACCTAAAAGACCCCTCACCATACAAACTAATCAGCTTCGTTAAGAAGCTGGGTTCATTTGGCCGAGTGTGAATAGGTGTGAGCCACAATAAACCCTTGCGGGTTGCGGTGGAGGGTTGAATAGACCCACATACTTTGGACCTAACTTAAATGTCAATTTTATTCATTTCATGTAAAAATAAGTAGGAGCATGGAAATGTGCGTTGATATACTTAAATCACAAATAAATCAAATGATTATTCATGACTGCCTGAACTTGTTATCATGGTAATACTTGTTTTCTCATCGATATCTAGTTGACCATAGACATTTTGAAACTTATATATTTATTTTTAAAATGCTTCACTACTACTTCTACTACTACTAGTATACAATTTTATACTTTTATATTCATCCCACATACAAGCAACTTGTGTTGCTTTCGTGGTTGTTCAATATTTATTTGTATCGCATTTCTTATAATGTCATTATGTTGTAGAGGAGTAAATAAACTTTATTATATTATCATCTTCATTCCCCCATTCCAGATTTACCCTTTTCTGCAAACGGATCCAATGTTCAACAAACTCTTATCCTGGGGGGACAACGCTGTCCAGATATACTCCATTAGACTGACGGTCAGTCAACCAAAGACGGATCAAATTAACTGAGATATTGAATACCCTTAAGGCAGGGAGGCAGCTCAAGACGACCGGGACGGGATTAGAGAAGGCGTGGAGGGATGATTTGTTCGATGAAATGCAGAGTGAAGAGTTAACTTGCTTGAGTAGACTCTAATAAAATCCATTTACGATATTGACCTGGATCGAATTTGACAGTGTATGCTTTGTTAAGCTAGAAAAGTTGAAGAGAGTGAAATGTCAACTCTCAGAGAAATTAGGATGAACGTTAAGTGGAAAATAAGGTCACAGGCGAGACATTCACAATCACAGATGACATATTATATCTAATAAAATGAAAGAGGGATAATTCCAGAAGAGATTATTTCAGAGAAGAAAGGTTTTAGCTTTCTACTCTCCATTCTCATACAAAGAAAAGAGGAGGGCAATTGATTTCAAAATAATGTATTTACAAAGATTAGATCATGAGAAGAAGGCACAAACTAAAAAATAAAGCCCTCTCGAAACTACTACTTTTCTATAACTATTGAATTCCACGAAAAAAAAACTTTCGAAATAAGTATTTTTATATAATTTCGACACATTTAATCATACTGTATTGCTCGGGAAACTTGATGCGGTAGGGTTTTATAGAAATTCATTAAACTGGTTCGCAAGCTACCTTCGAGATAGAAATCAATGTCTTAAAGCTAGGAGTTTTATATCTGGGGAGATTTATGTCACGTCAGGAGTACCACAAGGAAGCCACCTAGTCCCCTTCTTGTTTAATATACAAGGTGTAACCGAATAAGTGTAAAACATTTAAGGAGGTGATTCCTCATCGAATACAGCCCCTTAAAGGGGTAACATAAAATTTGTATAACAATTTTTTCACAAGCACTGAAAAAGTTACAATATTGAAATTAACCTGACGTTTTTTACTACCAAAAAGACACTTAGCCAATAACTTATTTGGTTTACCCTATGGTTGAAAGGGGTGGAAAACGCAACCCCTAAAATGTATTTCCAATGTAACTTTGTGTCATATTATTTGTTTACCATTTAAAAATTTATTTTCGATAGCCTATTTTATTTCTAAATGAAAAATTTCTCCTGGGTTTTTGCCCAAAATAAACCAGTTCGCAGCAAAAAATTATTTTACCAACAACTACAGAGATACATTGTCATAAATGCGAACTGTATTTATTGTTATTTTGTAGTTAGTACCTGCATCAAACGATTAAAGGGTAATAAACAAAACTAATTTTTCATTAACGGCGCATTGAGCCACGTATTCGCTCAAATATTCCTGAAGTCTCTCTGATTACCCTGCATGCATCGATGATGCGGTTTCTTAAGTCCTCCAAATCGCAAACAGGAGTACGATAAACCAAATTCTGTAAATCGAGAGGATTGATATCCGGGGATCGAGCGGTCCAGTTCTGTCGTCCTACTCGACAATCCACTGATTTGCATATGTTTCAGTTAAATGCTGACGTGCTACTTGACTAAAATGGGCGGGAGCCCCATCGTGCATAAAAAACATATCACTTCTGACGCCCAAAGGAACTTCCTCCAGAAGTACTGGATGCACTTCTCTTAAAAATTGAGTGTATTCCTCACCATTCAATCGAGGAGGTAGAAAATGAGGGCCAATTATATCATCCCCAATAACTCCGAGCCACACGTGAAAAGAAAACTGTTCTTGATGGTTAGTTTCAACAATAGCGTAAGGGTTTTCATCAGCCCATATGTGGTAATTATGGAAATTAATAATCTTGTCCCGAGAAAAACTACATTCGTCTGTGAATTCTATCGTCTTCAGAATAAGACTTCAGCCATGTCATCAACAAACAACACTGTGAGAATATTCAAAGGGACCTCATCTTAATTGTCTAATGGGGCTTCGACAACTACATGGAGCTGAATATAAATAAATGTAATGCTATGTCTTTTTATCGATCAGTTGAAAATATCGAATTTGGTAATAACATTGATAGCAAACTTCTCACAAGGGCAAACATTCTTTGGGATCTCGGTGTTCTTTTGACACCAAGGTTGATTTCCATCTCCACTTTGAGCAGGTTTTCCGTAGCACGACAATGCTGGGCTTTATATGCATGACCACAAGAGAATTTACTAATGTTAGTACCATAAGAACCCTCTATTATTCTTTGATTAGATCGATATTGGAGTATTGCATCATGTGTGTGGTCGCCAACATATGAAATAGAAATAATGAATTTCCAAGCTATCTAGCTGATAAATTGAAGACACTTTCAACTGAAAATACACTGAGAAAAGTTGGCACTATAGCAGAAATATTGAAACAGAGTACTTGTAGAGTTTATACAGATATTAGTGTTCTACATAACATTTTGAACTCTCATGTTGATTATCTATAGGTATTGCCTTCAATTAGTCTACATATTTCAGCCAGATTAACTCGAAACACTTAGATGTTTGCAATTGATTTCCATAGATGCAACCTTCCTATGGCAGGGTTTTACTTCCATTTAACAACTTCTCTTCACTTGTTTTCCTCAAGACTAATGAGGGTGTTGTCAATTAATTAACATATTTGATTTTTTGGGTTTTCTCATTGAGTTACTTATAGAACAGCAGATGTCTCTGATCACACTTGCAACATAATAGTTCTTATAGTTACTTATAGAACAGCAGATGTCTCTGATCACACTT